ATGTATGATATTTAATGATAATTAGAATGTCACGAAAAGCTATCAGTATTGTTCATGGTGGTGGACAAAACTCTGGATGCTATATTTGGAGATGCTGGTACTTAATAGAATAATTATTCATGAAATGATTTATTTTATTATGCTACAAATGTTTAGAATTGTACCTAGAAATTTCTTTAATTGTAGCTAGAAATTACTGTCGCCCAAAATTTCTGTGAATTTTGTAGACTTTATTTTAGCAAAATCACCATGCCTTTCAATGTGTACTGATTTTAAAGGTTTAAATTTTCACAGCTTTTGAAATCTGCATAATTAGCAGAAATTTTGGGCCACAGAAATATCTAGCTTCATGTGTATGGCATTTGCAATGAAAGGTTTATTTTTAACTTCTTATCTCTGTTAAACAGATAAAATTTCCTTGAGACTAGATATATTATCAACTCATTATTTCCCTTGACACTACTTAATGTGACACCAGTATATTTCCAGGTCAGTAAAAACTATTATTGCTGTATAAAATTTGTTTTCGTTATCTGTAGAATGACATTCCTGTCAAATTATTTTTAGAGATGAAAATAGGCTACAAAGTTCCTTGTAAACATTAATGCAAAGTACATGTACTTTTTACATTTATTATTAATATTGCTTATTCCTTGTAGACTCAACAGAGTAACCTGAAATCAAATGTGTGGCTAAACAAGCATTTATTCATGTTTGAACTGTTTTTTTTACATTTTTGTTTGAGTGATGCACATTATAAATTGAAGTACAATTTAGTTAGTACTGCGCATGCGCAGATTGCCCACGCAAATAATTGGATCCATTCCTGTCTTTAACGGCATGTCACATGGGACAAAGTTAAGAGCTTTCTAACAGCAAGAGAGCATAGAGATACTGTCTAAAGACTTTTCTACAAGCATCGCAAGGTAGAGAGAGCCTTTATAAGTATTAATAATGACCAAGTTGTATTTGCAAGGTGGTGAAATCAATTATAGAAATATTTTTTACCCTGTTACGCTTGTTTGTCAGTTTTATAGTATAGTTTAAAATCCCAGGAGTGTCTCATCAGACTTAGTACTTATCATTTGAATTTAGTTTTATAATGATGTTTTATGTACTTCTTACTATTTGTTTCTTCTTTTCTAAGTTGCATAGTATTGTGTAGATAAAAGTGACTGATGAAGCTTACATGTAAATTATGTTTTGAAATGATGTTTCATGAACTACTTATTTTTTGGTATTTGTTCCTTCTTTTCTCAGTGTTATAGTATAGTTTAAAATAACTGAAGTCACTAATTATTAGACCGAGCTATCCTTCAAGGCTGGATTCTGCAATAAATTTTGTTGTTCAAAGTTCATTTTATTTGTTTCTTATTTTCTCAATTTCATTAATTGTATCGTTAAAAATACCAGAAGTCATTGATCAGACTAAGTTTTATTTCGGTATTAAAATATTTCATGCACAACTAAATTCACACAATTTGTTTCTTCTTATCTTCTTTTGTTTGCTTTGTCACTTTTTTTGAGGCAAATGGTGAGGCAGTAAGAGAAGACAGATGATATGGCAATGAGAGCAGGGAGATGGTGTGGCAGAGATAGCAGTGAGATGGAGATGTTGTGGCAGTGATAGCAGTGAGATGGACATGGTGCGGCAGTGGAAGCTGTGAGATGGTTTGGCAATGAAAACAGGGAGATTTTGTGGTCATGAGAGCAGGGAGATGAGGTAGTGAGACCAATAGAGATGGTGTGGCATTGAGAGCAGGGAGAGAGTGAAGCTGTAATACCAAGGAGATGGTGTGGCAGTGAGAGCAGGGAGATTGTGTTGCAATGAAGCTGGGAGATGGTGTGGCAGTGAGAGCTAGGACTTGGTGTTGCAGTGAGAGCAGGGAGATGGTGTTGCTTGAGAGCAGGGAGATCATGTGGCAGAAAAAGTAGGGTGTTGGTGTGGTAGTGAGAGCAGGAAGATGGTTCGCAGTGAAACCAGGGAGGTGGTGGAACACTGAAAACAGGGAGTTGGTGTGGCAGTGAGAGCAATGAAGTGGTGAGGCAGTGGGAGCAGGAGGTGGTGTGGCCGTGATGGCAGGGAGATGGTATGGAAGTGAGGGCAGGGGGCAATGAGATCAGATAATGGTGTGGCAGTTAGGGCAGGGAGATTGTGTGGCAGCAAAATGGTGTGGGAGTGACAACAGAGTTTGAGTGGCATTGAGAGCAGGAAGTTGGTGTTGCAGTGAGAGCAGGAGTTGGTGTTGCAGTGAGAGCAGGGACACTGTGAAACACATTGAGAAGAGAGTTTCTGTGGCAGTAAGAGCAGTAAAATGGTGAAGCCACAGGAGGAGGGAGATGGCATGGCAGCGAGTGCAAGGAGATAGTGTGGCAGCAAGAGCAGAAACATGGTGTGGCATTGAGAGCAGTGAGATGGTGTGGCAATAAGAGCAAGAACAGGGTGTGGCAGTGAGAGCAGGGAGATAGTGAGTCAATGAGAGCAGGAAGATGGAGTTGCAATGAGAGTAGGAAGATGATGTGAAAAAGGAAGCAGAGAGATAGTCTGGCAGTGACAGCAGGGTGTTGGTGTGGCAGTGAGAGCAGAGAATTGGTGTAAAAGTGAGAGGAGCAAAATGGTGTGGAAGTGAGAGCAGGGAGATGGTCTGGCAGAGACATTGGGGAGTTGGTGTGCCAGTGAGAGGACAAAGTTGTTGTGGTAGTGAGAGCAGGGAGATATTGTGGCAGTGAGAGCAGGGACATTTTGTGGTAGTGAGACCAAGAAGTTGGTGTGGCAGTGAGAGAAGGGCGTAGTTGTCACAATGAAAAGAGGGAGATGGTGTGGCAGTGAAAGAAATCAGATGGTGTCGCAGTAAGAGCTGTGAGATGGTGTGGCAGTGACAGCAGGATTAGCAGACTTTGTGTGGCAGTGAGAATAGGGAGATGGTGTGGCAATGGGAATAGGAAGATGTGGCAGGGACAGCAGGGAGATGGTGTGGCAGTAATAGCAGCAAGATGGTGTGCCACAAAGAGCTGGGAGATGGTGTCGCAATGAGAGCAGGGAGTTTGTGTGGCATTGAGAGCAGGGAGATTGTGAGGCACATGGAGCAGAGAGTTGGTGTAGCAGTGAGAACACAGAGATGGTGTGGCCGTGACAGCAGCAAGATGGCTGAAGATGGCTTGGCAGTGAGAGCAGGAAATGGTGTGGCAGCTAAAGCAGGGAAAAAGAGCGGCAGCTAAAGCAGGGAAATAGAGTGGCAGTGAGAGCAGAAGAATGAAGTAGGAGTGAGATGGGTGAGATGGTGTTGCAATGACACCAGGGAGACGGTGTGGCAGTGAAAACTAGATGTTGTGGCAGTGTGAGCGGGAAAATCCTGTATTAATGAGAAGAGGGTAATGGTATGGCCATGAGAGCTGAGAGATGGTGAGGCAGTGAGATATTGTGGAATGGAGATGATGCAGCAATGAGGATGGCGTGGCAGAGAGAGCAGCGAGATGGTGTGGCAGTGACAGCAGGGAGTTGGTGCGACAGTGACAGCAGAAACACTGTGTGGCAGTGATAACAGAAATTTGGCGGGCAGTGAGAGAAAGGAGATAGTGAGGCAGAGAAAGCAGATAGTTGGTGTGGCTGTGAAAGGAAGGAGATGATGGCGTAGGGATATGGTGTGGCAATTAGAGCAAGGAGATGGTGAGGCTGTGAGAGGAGCAAGTTGGTGAGGCAATGAGAGAATAGAAATGGTGAGGTAGTGAAACTAATGAGACTGAAGCAGTAACAGGATGGATGCAGCATGGCAGCGAGAACAGTGAGATAGTGTGGCAGTAAAAGCAGACAGATGGTGTTGCATTGAGAGTAGGAAGATGACGGTGTGTCAGCGAGAGCATGTTGCAGTGAAATCATGTAAATGACGATGCCGTGAGAGCAGGGAGATGGTGTGGCAGTTAGAGCCTAGGGATTGTGTGGCAGTGAGAGAATGGATGGTGTGGCAGCGAGAGGAGGGAGATGATGTGGCAGTGAGAGCTGGGAAATAGTGTGGCAGTGAGAGCAGGGAGATTGTGAGGCAGTCGGAGTACAAGAGGGTGTTGCAGTCAGAGGCAGAAGATGGTGTGGCAGTCAGAGGAAGAAGATGGTGTGGCAGTCAGAGCAGGCAGATAGTGTAGCAGCGAAAGCAGAAAAATGGCGTGGAAGTAAGAGCAG